AGAGAATTTGTATGGAAAGAAGCTGCTTTGTAGGAATGCGAAGGCAATAGTCTCCAAGATATCCATTGCAGCCACGGAGACATTTGGGGTGTTCCTACCAACCAGTATAGTGCACACGTGCAGGCAGGGAAACATAGTAGACCGCGTCTCCCACATGGCAGCCAAGTGGTCCAGTTTGCATGGAGAACCCGCCGCGGTATTCGTAGCCAAAGTAGACACCTCGGAGTTGTCCATAGAAGCCGTASACGAAAACATTTCCAAGTTTGCTAGGCTGCTACAAGCACACGGATATGGAATATACTCCGTGGACTACACACAGGATTTCTCCGGTACTTTGGATAGAGTTGCATTGGTACGTCGTTTGCGACAGCTGGGATACGTGTCGCAGCATAGTGGCGGTTGGCGCAACGGTACGATTTTGGAGAACACGCATGCTGTGGGAGAACATGTTTGCACTTGGATGGAAGACGGCAAACGGACGAAGATATACAACAAAATAGTATCCAACTTCGAAGCCGGAGAAGTGCAGAATCCAGTAGGAGCAAAGCTAGCAGAGTACGTGGATTGTCCCAACGACCACCTGCGTAGAACATTCCTGCACCCAGACGTGCAGAAAAGAGGATGCAGCAGAGTGGAAATATCCATCTACGGCAAAGACTTCTCCAAATCCCACACCAACGCTATTGCGGAGACGCTAGGACATTCCGGATACGTACAACGAATTGGCTAGGAAAGTAGACCGTTCGATACCCAGGAATCCGGAAAGACTACTGGAAGTGTCGGCGCCACACAACAAAGAATGCGTGCAGGCGCTACATATGCATCCGGACGAATACCAATGCTGGAGATACGCCAAAACCACCTACAGAAAAAAAGAAAGGACAATCCTATTCCTCTCCGAAAAATGCTCGGAATGCGTTTTGGAGGGCTGTACGGTGGAGCACGCCACTACTCCGGTCTGGGGACACTTTCTGGAGGAGCAGAAAATAGACTGGACGTCTCCACCACCACTATACCGCAAAATAGGTAGGGAAAAGACTACCAAAGCAAAGAAGAAAGACAGACTGGTGCACGTCTCTACTCCGAAATCCTAGGCCAAATCGACACCCTTTCTACTCCATCTCTGGAATCCTAGAATTTCTCTGCGGTTTCGTATCCTCCGCTGAATGTCTGTAGGAGACTACTTTGGGTGGTTGCATGCGCGCCCAAACGATGGCAGCAATGCACAAGGCGGCAAATAGTACATTGCCGGCTATTTGCCAGTCTATTTTTGTGGATACTTCCTCTACTTCGTCGGACAGATCCTCTGCGTTCTCGAAATCTTCCTGGTCCATCTTGGCTAGCAATTCCTCCTTTGCGTTCTGTAGTTCTTCTCTAGCTTTTTGGAGATCGTCCAAGACTATAGCAAAGGAATCCTGCACTTCTAAGAAATGTTTCTGCAGGTCTGTAGTTGGTGGCTTTTCGGGGATTGCTACCTCCACGCCGTTCTCTCGCTCTATCCTGCGTATCTTTGGTATGCCTATGCCGTACTTTTTGGCTACCTTTTGCAGCCCCACACCATTTCGTCTATCTTCCAACAATCCTGCGATTTCTTCCTCGGATAGTATTTTGGGTGTTGCCATATATATCTACGAATACGGGTTTGGGCATGGGTATTCCATGGGCAAACGCTATGGATCCAYAGGGGTATTCCGTGGGTCCATAGGTATATAGATGTATCTCTACATAGCTCTAGGCATAGCCGGCTACATGCTAGGAAAACAAAGGACAACGCAAATACTCCTGGAGATCTTGGAAGGCCTCTACAGACTTCGCATACCGGGTTACGTAGCAACTTTGGCACAACTACCGCGAAGTAGATAGTAGAAGGGTGTCGAAGGTTTTTGGCTACTTGCAAGAGAGGCGTTTCGCAGCCCTTGCTAGGGAGCGGTGTCTTGCCGCGCCCTTGCTACGGGGACACTGTTTCCGGGCCCTTGCTATCCAAAATCTGGGAATTGCTACTATGTGGAGGTGTTCTACAGACATTCCTGGTGTTGCTACCAGCGCAGCGGACACAAAAAAAATACGATTGTGCAAAAATGTGTCTACGAGGAATACCCGTGTGGGAGTAGAAAAGGTAGCCGAAAATGGTTGCCGAAACAATGGGCAAAAATATGCTCTTATAATATATGTTAGCATATTTAATGGCATTCGTTGGTGGCTTCTTTATTTCATTGGGTATTCACGGTCTCAAATGGGTCGTGGATGGCGGGAAGATCCCGTAATCTCTTGGTGGAATAACCCCGGGCCACGTTGCTCTCAAAACCCGAATGAAACCGGGGCGTATGCTTTTAAGACGGGTTATTTCGGGGTGGCGTGTGAGTTGGGACCCCCAACCCCTATACTACTCATTGCCAAAGTAGTATTCGGCTACTCCTCGTGGATCCACACTACTTTGACAATTTGATGACGCAATTTATCGTCAATAAGAAGAGAGACACATAAAAAGCTGATGTCTATTTGTTAAAACGACCGGCCCTAAGCATTTTTGGAGCTTGAAAGAACGATGCAAACGTGGCGGTAAATCGAAATTGTTTTTATTCTTCCTTTCCATATTTCTGCTTCTTGTAAGCACGTATATTATATTTAAGTCAAAAGAAAACAAACAAACAAAACAAAAAAGTTGGGTTGGCCTGGGAATGAGGGCTGGCAGCAAAACAGCTAAACACGCTGCAATTGGTTGAAACAAAATTCACCGCTCAGATTAAATTCAATGGTGCTCAGTGCGTACAAATGGGGATGGGGTGGGAGGGGAGGGGAGGGGTATTGGCGAATATGGGATTTTGAAAAGAGGTAATTATCGATTGCTGTGGTTGAAAAAAAAAAGACAATGAAAGACGAAGGGGGTGGAGGGGAGTGACAAAATCTTCGGCCTTTCTCGTATACTCCCCTCCTCTGTAACATTTAACAATGAATGATATGAGGAAGCACTTTGTTATTGTAAGATCTATCTAGTGCTTCTAAATCCTGAAACATGCCCACCTGTTCGTCAGTTTGTCCGTTCGTCCGTCTTTTTGTCTGTGTCTTTGTCTATTTGCCTATTGATGGCTTTCAACAATTCCCAAGAGAATTAAATAACAAAAGACAAGGCGGCCATGTTGGAGGATATAACAAAAGAATTCATTGACATTTCTTTTGTTACGTTCCTCCAACATGGCCGCCGTGAAAACCATCAATTAAAACTACCTTTCTGTTTTTAAACCAAACCCTTAGTGCGCAAAAGAATTCTTCATTATATTTGACGTCTCGGTTCTCGAATGGATTGAGCAATCTGGCCAGTGATTGGACAGGCTTTTTGACGTGAAATGAGTCGATACAATTTGATTGTTCTATTAAACTGTCACGTTTATTTCATTTCTCACGCTTTGAAAGAGCAATTACCATAGCAACATTTCATTCTCACGTGCATGCTTGTCGTCCTCACATTAATTTCTTCGTGTGAGATTTTGTTTACTTCTTTTTCGATAGAAAAATATGTTGAAACTTCATTAAAAATGCATGCAACAAGGGGTTTTGGTCACGGAAAGTTGTTTACATTTGTTAAATATTTTATAACTCTCGTTTTTCGTGAGTATAATTATTAGTTTTTTAGTTTTCTCATTCTTTTTTCAAATTTTCGTCAAATTTTCCTTTTCTAAATTTATAATTCTTTCGTTTATTCATCCGTTCTCTTCTTGTCTCTCATCTCTCCTCTGTACGTAATTATTATCATCACACCAGGCATTTCTCAGAACGTATTGTTGTTATCAGTCTAGGTGAACAAGTTGTTAACATACGACTAACTCTAAGCACGTACGCTCATTAATACTGAGAATGATACAATGAAGACTTGAATTAGTTTTCCTTAAATGAGTTTTCTTTGGCTGGTATTTGCCACATGGAGGGTATTATTAAACGGAATGTTGTTAGGTGTAATTTGGAGGAGATGAATGGGGAGAAAATTGGAGGGAGCTTTAGTTGAAATTTATTTATTTATTTATTCTTTTTTTTTTTTTTTTTTTTTT